CAGCCCGCTCTGCTCGGCCTACCCCGCGCACCTACGCTCGCACCTGCACACGCCCGTCCGCTCCTCTCACTGCGCTGCTGGATCCGCCTGTAAGCCACCCGCACGCGCTTCCCTTTCCCCTTTCACTGCGCCGCTGGCCCACGCCGTCAGACACCCGCACGCGCCGATCCTCGCTCCCTCTCGCTGCGACGCGGGTCCCTCCCGTCAGCGTCGCGCCCACATGGCAAGCGACCAGAATCGCCGCGCCCCGCTCCCCTTCCTTCTACCGCACCTCGCCCCACCTATAAAGCTCCGAGCCACACCCCTTCTTCTCCCTTTCCTCTGTCCGCGCTCACGCTCACCAGTCACGGTCGCAATCCATCGCTTCCGCACCTCGAACCTCGTCACCGACGTGCCCGTGAGCTCCGCCGTTTTCCCCCGCGCCCGTAGGTACCGTCATTTCTCGATTTTGGTCATGATTTGATCAGATTTCCCCTCACCCGCGCGCCACTTCTCTCTCCAGCCGCCGCCGCCGTCGGCCCCCCCTCGAGGCCTTCCCGGACGCCGCGACCATCGCTGCTAACCTCGTGGTGAGCTTTGCCGTCTTCCCATGCCTTTTGTTCATCACTTTGTGCTCTGGAATGCCGTACCGGCGACCTTCCGACGCCGCCGGCCATGGCGCCGCCGCGGAACAAATGCTCCAGCGTGTTCTTCGCCTCGATAGTGTTTGCGTCGTGATCACGAGGTCCCGTAGATCATCTAGGTGTCCTCGGTTTGGTCGGGCATGGCCGGAATCGCTATCCCGGTGTCCGCCGCCGTGTCTTCCTCGCCGACGGCAATGGCCATGTAGCCGCCGGAGATTGTCCAGTGCCTCCTGTGTCGTTGGATCGGTTCTGGACGGCCAAGATCTAACCGTACCGGTTGATCATAACCGGTCCACCGTGGACCCATAGACTCGCCCACGGTGCCGCGTCAGCTAGTCCACCACGCCACGTGGTGCACCGAGCGAATCATATGTGTCCACGTGTCATCCAGTCAAGCCATACACATTTTGCAGAAAAAGCCCTTCTATTTTTGGTGAATCAACCCACAGTCCGTAGCAGTTCAAATTAATTACAATTTAGCCCTGTTTTTATTCGTTTAGGCCCCTGTATTTTCTAAAAATAGTACGCGCAATCCAATAAACGTGTAAATTCATATTTTTAATTGTTTTAATTCAAAAATCAGTTCAGTTTATTTACAGAAATGCCATTGAACCTTATTTCATGCGTAACTTTTGCGTTTTAAGTCCGAATTGACCCGTTCGAATTGCGTTAGGACCATATTTACGTTTTCTACATATTTACACTACTGTTAGGCATGTTTTCAATATTTGAAATTCATGGGTAGATTTAATTTATTATTTAAATAAATAAAAACTTATTTAAATCATAACTTATTCATTTTAACACCGAAATAGTCCATTCAAGTTGCATTGGTTTCATAACGACGTGACCTACGCATTAGTATCGATGTTTTCTATATTACTATTTCTAAAAAATCATTGTTTAAATCATATATTGATTAATAATTATGCAACTGGATTTTATAAATAAAATATGATTTGTTAAACTTTAGTTTATAATTCAAATCTAAAATTGACTTAATTCAATCTATATTATTTATAAAATATCTTATATGAATTTATATAGTTAAAATAAATGAAGCCTATAGTTTTCTTTTCCACGTATAAAGCAAATCTCTCGGTAGTTGTATCGTTTCGACCATAGATCCGATTAGCGTGCCTCTCGCGACTGTGTGTTCATAGCGATGCGTAGAATCGTGTTTCAAACTCTTTTACTTATTTTTCTATGATTGGTGTACTGTTCTAATATAGATGCAATTGTATGCTATGCATGTATGTGTATGGATGTTTGTGTGGTGTTCTACAATTACGTTCAACCGGTGAGATATGCGTGGTGATCCAGAAAAAGAAGAAGAAGAACATTGAAGATTAAAGCTTACCGAAGGATCGGTCTTCAAGGTAAGTATAGCATGAGACCATCCTTGTTACCTATTCACCTTTAATCACTTATTTCATATTGCATGTGTCTTTCTTGTTGCCAATAAGGATACCCTAGATATTTGATATCTTGTACCTTGATACCTTTGGGATATTGCATTAGGTAGTTTTTGCTAGTGCTTAACCAAAACCATGATCTTGTAACTTGACTAATGGTATATGCAATAAACATTAAAACATGATTTTTTAACAACATGAAACAGGGGGCTAGAGTATTTAGCTACTTTCTAAATGCTTCAGATTCCTCTCCCTAAGGACTTATCTGTAAGTGATCATCCGGAACTTACAGTACAATTGTGAGGGCTATATGGCTCTGGCTTTAGCTTAGTACGAGGACCTTTTCTAGCTTGTTAGTGGTTACCTTTATGGCGCAAGGGGGTATGTTTCCTTTCCTGCTAGGATGTGTGTACCGTGTTGCGTGCCCACGCGTGCCACTCCTAGAGGAGGGCTATATACGGCTAAACGGTTGAAACCTTAGTGGCCCTAACTTTTTAGACGAATCTTTGAAAGGCTTCATAGTGAATCCTATCGACCTTCCTTGGTAGTGGGTCAAGAGGCTGATCACCTCAGGCGAAAGGGTAAATCACGACTCACAGTGAAAGTGTACAACCTCTGCAGAGTGTAAAACTGTTATAACAGCCATGCTCACGGACACGAGCGGCCTTGGAACTCTTATGGAATAGAGATGATCACTAATGGTTAATTATACTAATGATTAATTGTTTATGCTATTCATTATTCATGTTTACCTGATCATGTGTTTATGGGTTTATGGATAAACTTGTTGCCAACCAATTGCTAAAATTATGATAATCAAAAGCTAATAGCAGTTAAATCAATGTCAACCTTTTGAGTCTCATGAACCCCATGTTATTTTGCTGAGTACGAGATGTACTTACGCTTGCTTTACTTTTCTATACTTTGGATAAAAATCCCGGATGGGTACCAGATTGCTTGTCTGGAGGAGTTGGGCTTGTGGTCAACCAGTCAGTCGTCCCTGTGGATTTGGAGTCTCCGCCAGAAGATCGGAGTTGTCTTTCCGCTGTCTATACTCTAAGGTTATATTCTTTATACTAATACATTATGTATTTAAGTATTGTCTATTGATATTACCCTTATTTGTGACTATATGTGATATTTGACTTCCTGGGCTCACATATAGTGTGTATCTGGTTTTGTTCTTAAAACCGGGTGCTACACGCGGACTCCGTCTCACCCAACCCCTAGACCGCAGACTACGCCTCACCCGACCCCAGGGCCACGGACTCCGCCTCGCCCGACGGGGTCCCATACCGCCGCCAACCACTCTAGGTCCAGGCGTATGGGCCTGGGTCAAAACTCTGACATCAAAGAAGAGACCGGCACGCCCCGATGTAACCCGTGGCCATGACGGGCCATACCAGAGGATTCACATCAAGAACAGCGTCGAGCGTACAGGTGATGTTCTGCCTAACTCCCGTACGAACACTGACAGGCGCGTCAGCTCACCACGACGTCCATTATGACGGAATGGAACGCCAAGACCGGCAGACGATGCCTGCGCATGGCGCCAGTGGCGGACAGGGCCGCGACTTGGAGCTGTCCCTGTTGACATCTACAGGGTCGGTAGGACCCACATGAAGGATAAAAGGGACCCAGCGATCCTGAAGGACTTTCTCTCTCTCATTCTTCTCTTTTCCTCCGTTGTAACCCGTACTTTCTCTTGACCTAGAAAAGAAAAAGCAGGGCGTCCCACGAGGGGGATCGAATCATCCCGAACCGATCAGAACACGAGATAAACACACAAGAACACGACACGAACACACGGCCGAGCAGCGATCGAGCTCTCAGCACCCATTCACTTTTTCCACCAGAGACATGGGATCCTTTCCCTCTCTCGCCTGTTTGTACCCCTACTACAAACTTTCAGTGCTAGTAACACAAGCGGCAGCAACGAACTGGACATAGGGACTTTCTGCCCGAACCAGTATAAACCTCGTGTCCTCTAAGCACACCATCCGAGCTAAACGCGTAATATTAGAAATTTACTCGTCGGTGGTAACTCGAAACACCGACATAATTCGTCCATTAATAATTATGAATAAAAATTAAGTCACAAAGATATATAGTAGAAAAGTTACTGTCACGGGTTCGTAACCGCGGCAAGCATCGTTTCAGAAGTGTGGATTTCCGGTGGCTCGGTACTCAAGAACACAAGAGGAACACGACGATGTATCCTGGTTCAGGCTATCAAGGCCCTACGTCTTGCAGTGAGGAGTTCATTGTATTCAAGATCACCCAAATCGAGGATTACAACGGAGGAGAACGAGAATTTGGCAAGGGATCACCCGTTGCTATCCTACGGCTCGTAGGCGGTGAGGTTTCTTCCCAAGGAATAAGGGAATTGGCCCTCTCTCTTGTTGGGTTGTCGAGGGAGGAACACTCTCTATTGTTCCTCTCGGTTTGCTTGGTGGTCGAATAAACTCGGTTGCTCAGCCCTTATCTATGGGAGCCGACCTTCCCCTTGTATCCTCGTACTGGCCTTGAACCGGTCTTCCTGTGCTCGAGTGAAAGATTCTGACATCAAAGACATGTATATAAGTTCAATTGCTCCCCGTGCGACAATAACGTAGACGAGCGGCGTAAACATCACCTGTCACAAGTAATCACAGTGTTTTCACCTATATAGGCAAGGCACGATCTACGTACAAAATACTACTAGCAAACTGGCAATTAATACCGTATACAATATAAGCACAAGATACACATTACTGTTGTGACATACGACCACAAATGTGGCGACGACGTTCACAGGCAGTCACCAGAGCCCAGAGGCAGCGAGAACTGAAGTAGAGGGACGAAACAGAGCAGCACACAGGGACGTTCCGCGGAACCAGTTTAATATAATGGTGATCATTTATTTTCCTAACGACAGATCCACAAAGTTGCGCGCGCTAATTCAAATCTGTGGTTCCAGTAGCTAATTCCCGGCTGGCGCCAATAAGTAGAAGAGGACGGCGTCCGCCACGGCGGTGCCAAACCGTGTTGCTCCCGGGAACCGATGGGCCACCGGCGACAGCATGACCAGAAAAACACCGAGAAGCAGAAGCGCGAAGCCGAACATAGCGTGCTCGGCGTTCGTGGCGCGGTTGCCGATGGTGTAGGTGAGGACGAGCCAGCCGCCGGTCAGGAGGATGCGGCCGGCGTCGAGGAGGCGGCGCTGAACCTGGTCGAGGGCCGGCGCGGGGTGGGCGCCCATCACATGGTCTGCCTCGTTGTGACCAGGCACGTTAGCCATTTCCTGCTGGTCGCTCTTGTTCGCAGGAGCAGAGTTTAACGTTGCACCTCTCGTGGCCGAAGGTGGTGTGGTTCAATGCTCGATGACCGAGGACGATGCCTGGAGTGTTTATAAAGGCTGGGAATGCGATCAGAAAGCCCAGAAAGCCATAAAGGCTGGGAATTCATTATAAAATTTAATAACACCATTCTTTTAGGGATAGGCGACATGCTCCTTGTCAGTGAGGCACGTCTGTAATGAATTTTCAATTTTAAGATCTACCAGCCTAGTCTTTAGGTATAATATATGTACATATGTTCATAAAAATAAATGTATATGTATTTATACGAGTTTCTACATCGGCTGAGGAGGTGGATAAGGAATGTGAAAAGTAGTGACGCAAAAGGTGACGAGCGGTAACAACTTAAGATGCAAGGCAAGAGGTAACAAACAAGCAGTGAAAGGCGAAGAGGCAAGTTGGTATAGGCGATGGTAATGCTTGTCCTGGTGACCTAATTCCCTCCGTAACCACCATAAAGGAAATAAACTACTGATACTGATGTGTAGCTGTACGGTAAAATTTGCTAAAGTTGACTACCGCGAAGATGGGCTCACCGCTCAACGTACATGATAACACACGAGTTCGAATTTGGGGGAGTGTCTGTGCTAGGTCTTGTGAGGGCAAAACAGAAGCTGTTTGCCTCTCTGCTGATGATAGGATAATCTTGCTGGCAAATTTGCCAGCTCGCAGCTGATGATATATATGTATGCATGTATGTTCGGAGAGCAAGAGGCTGCCTGAATATATACAACTGTGCATGGCAAAGACGTATATACAAAGAGGTGACGACCCAAAAGGGTGGTGACGAGTGGAATCATCAGCTCCTGCCGGCGCCGCCATCATCTCTCGCGGCTGGTTCATGTGTGTGTAGTGCAGCGTAGGAGGAGACGGGCAGCAATGAGAATGCGATTAGAAAATTATGGGTCTGTTCGCTTGGAGGAATTCTGGAGAAATTTGGATGGTTTAGAGGAATGCAAGCAAAAATACTATGATGAAAAAGAAACGGATCAAGCCGATTAAGAAAATTATATATACCCAAGCCCAACTGTGAGAGTGAGACGAGACAAAATGTTGTTGACGAGCGAGGGAAAGTTGAAAAGAAAGGTAGGAACCGAGCTGCGAAATAAAAAATAACTTTGAGACGGATCGTGTAATTACGGAGTCAGAAGGTGCGAGGATCCAGTCATCCAGATAGAAAGCTGAAGGCTCAAGTGCAACGATTAGTGGATGATGAACTGGGACAATTCGAGTTGATAATTCAGTATGAGTATTATATCTTTGGAGCAGCAAATAGAATGATATTTTAAAAAAAACTGTACTTTACACTTTGACAGCACGTTATATATTTTTTAAAAAATTGTACTTTACACTTTTACAGCACGTTATATATATTTTTAAAAAATTGTACTTTACACTTTTATTACAGCACGTTAGTATAATCAGCCATATTGTGTTTTTTTTTATTTTTTAACCTTTTTTAAAAATAATTTTAAAATTAACACGGTTATTTTTTTATTTTCGAATCTAACTCGTTTGAGCGCGCTAAGTCCGTGGCGCGGTCAAAACACGCTGCCACGCCACATGCATCGGTGTGACACGATCTGGCACGGTGGACGACGATTTCCAACTGGAAATCCTTGCCGCGCCACTCCTGTTGGCGTGGCAGCACTGTAGCACCACGCCAACCACGCTGGCGCGACAAGAAGCAACCTTAGAAAAAATTGCATCTTTTTCATAAGATCTCGGATGAAGATGATTTTTATATGAAAATTATAGCTCTCTATGAGATCTACAACTTTCTAGTTTTAAGTTTTTAATTTGAGGTCATTAAGATGCTCTAAAAAATTAAATAAGTTTTTAGCGGTATCTTAATCACGTACGAGCGCTTGTCGTCCTAAAAAAATCATATCTTTCTTATATGATGTCAAATGGAGATACTTTCTATATCAAAGTTGTAGCCCTCGGTGGCATCTACAACTTTATAGTTTCAATTTTTTTCATTTGAGATAAGAAAGCCCAAACTGCGCAAGGGGGCCTGCTAAGTGCTCGGCTGGTTAGATTTATCATGGTTTAACTTATGCACCCGTATATAAATTCTATGACTTGACGTGAATGTTTGTATTTTTCTGAACTTATTATTTATTATAAAATTTAACAACATCATTTTTTAGGGATAGACGACGTGCTCCTCGTCAGCGAGCCATATGTGTGACGTTCTTTTGTGTTGAACCTGTGGCCTGATTCCTTGAAAGAAGAATCCGGTCGTTTAATCTGTCATTATCTTAAAAAAAATATCCTAGTCTTTGGGTAGAATAATTGTACGTGCTTCATTAAAAATAAGTGCCTATGTATGTATACGAGTAATCTACAATTCTACATAGGGTGACGACTGAGGAGTGGATAAGTAATGTGAAAAGTAGTGACGCAAAAGGTGGCGAGCGGTACCAACTTAAGATGCAAGGCAAGGGGTAACAAACAAGCAGTAAAAAGGCGAAGAGGCAAGTTGGTATAGGAACGATGCTAATGCATGGCGTGGTGACCTAATTCCCTCCATAACCATAAAGGAAATAAACTACTGATACTGATATGTCGCGGTACGGTCAAATTTGCTGGCTGGAGCAAAACGTCTGGCTGAGCTACTCTCTCCTCATGATAGTTGTACGTTCGTTGCGCCTTTTTTTTGTTGTTCTTTTTCAAACTTTTCTTGTCCTTAAGGGCTGTTACTATCCTCTTCTTTATTAATAGAAATTGGCACTGTCCCGTGCCCGGTTCGTTAAATTGTTTTTGCTAAAGTTGACTACCGCGAAGATGGGCTCAACGTACATGACAACACAAGATTTCGAATTTAGAGGAGTGTATGTGCTAGGTACTTTTGCTTGTGTGGGCAAAACAGAGAACCTGTTTCCTCTGTTGGCAGGAGAATCCTGCTGGTAAATTTGCCAGCTCGCAGCTTTTGAGAGATATGTACGTTTGTTGGGAGAGCAAGGGGCAGCCTGAATGAATATATATACAACTGTGCATGGCAAAGACGTATCCAAACTTACAAAGGTGACGACACATAAGGGTTGTGACGAGGGAATCGTCAGCTCCCGCCGCCGGTGCAGTCGGCAGTTCATGTGTGTAGTGTGGGAGATGGGCAGCAACGCTAATGTGATTAGAAAATTGAAGGCTCAACTGTGAGAGTGAGACGAGACAAAAAGGTGGTGACGAGCGAGGGAAAGTGAAAAATGAAGGTCGGAAGCCGGCTGCGAAATGTAAACAATAACTTTGAGACGGATCGTGCAAGAAGGTGGGAGGATCTAGTGTAGAGAGAAAGCTGAAGGCTCAAGTGCAAGGGTGTACTGGTTTAGTGGATGCTGAACTGGCACAATTCGAGTGTCATAATTCGGTATGAGTATATATATTGTAGACTGCTCTGCTCTGCTCTGCCCTTTTGCTCCGATGGTCTACTTTTTCCCTCACAAAAACCAAAGACGAAGTTTTATCGGATGGTGAATTTTTTAGAACAGAAGCCTTTCAACGCTAGCTGTTGATGGCTGAAAAGACTTAAAGAGTGTTTAGTGCAGTAGAGACGGGTGTTTCAAAACCAACTGTAGGATCTGTTCTTGCGACGTCCCGGAGTGCTGTGACACGCCTGTATTATAGCGACAGAAATGCTACTCTCTTGTACGCAAACTTTTTTTCTTCTTAATGGAAAGATAGAACTACTGCCGTTGCATCAAAAATAATATTTGGTATAAGCAGTTCGTTTGCACGCTAGAATCATCCCTCCAAAGTCCAAACTATCAAAAATTCAGAACAGGCAGTTTCATAGTAAGGCATGCAGAATACGCTGTTACAGTTAGAAAAGCAAAAGTAATTTCTCACAGGTTACAGGAGTGTTTCCACCTTACTACGTAACACGACCTACAAATAGTAACCTGGCAATAGTTTATGAGCAAAAGGTACATTACGATACAAGCACAAGCCTCATGACGTTTCGCAGACAGACACCAAAGCTGCAAGAAAGCAGAGGGAAACAGAGCACAACTGCACAGCACAGCAAAAAAAAAGGGAAAGAACATCCATCGCCAAAAGGAGATAATGTGCGCGCTCATGACGTTTATAAGCAAAAGGTACTTTACGATACCAGCACAAGCCTCATGACGTTTCGCAGACAGACACCAAAGCTGCAAGAAAGCAGACAGCTGCACAAATGAACATCCATTGCCAAATGCGTCAGGCCACCCAAATGCTATCATCCAATCTCATCCTCCATATCACATCCGGTATCCATATCATCACTGGTGTAGGCTTCGCAGACAGTCAAAGGATCTTGCAGAGCCACAATAGCTTCGTCTGACAAAAAAAGGCGGAGCATATGGTTTGAAGCGCGTTGTGAGAGAAAGAATCGTGCAAGCACACAGAAACTCTGACAAAGCTTCTTGCCAAGAGTACATTGTACAAGCGATGTGACCATGAAAGGATTGGCATTTTATGCATGTAATGTGGAGAATCAATTGTCTAAGATAGCCTCATCAGTGCTTTTGTCTGATACCACTAGTCCTATATGCCTGCGCTGGGGCTGCCCTTAGGAAAATAAAGGAAAATCGAGAAAGGTGAACATCCATTGGCAAAGCAGAATTTAGAAAGGAGAATTGAGAAACGAGATAATGTGCTCCACGGACGCAAAAGGTGAAGATTGAAGTCAAATCTTCTTAAGGAGACGAGGACTCACTTGCCTCAGGCGAACCCCCTTTTCATAAGCAACATATAATATGGCTAGCCTCACTGTATGTAGTATTTGAATAAAAAGATGAATGCTTTCAACTTTAGGTCCTGTTTGGTTGAGCTCCTTCAAGCTTTGGCTCCGCGCTACATTATCGGAGGAGCAACAAATAGTAAGTTCTCCTAGCTGCCCAATCATTTTGCTAGGAGGGAGAAAAATAATTTATGTGAACAGTGATGCAACGTTACAAGA